GACCAGTTTGTTGAATATCGCTTGTAAGTCTTCGATTTTGTGTGACACCAGACATAAATCATCATAAATTTTATCAGCATCAGTTCAAAACTTGTTGAGTTTACATAACGGCAATATCCATTTCTTACCATACCGAGGAAACAATAACTAGGTTTTTTGAAAACAGAAGTATATCAACTCGCAAATTTTACGAATTCTGCATATTGCATTCTATTTACCTAATACTGTAACTAGCCTCTGGGTTGAAGCCCCATGTTATACTGTGGAGGTGAGGTAATAAAAAAATAATCGCCGGAATGTCAACAAACGATAGTAATATTTTTTCATCTGGCTTTTGTCTAACTGATAAAAGACTTATCTTCCTCTCGCCCGAAATAGGTTCCGCACTATGTCTCGTCACATCTCGTGAGTTAGTTTCTTTTATCCCATGGCTTAGATGCCGATTCCTAGCACATCTAATAAAATACTTCTTGCTTATTACCGGCTGAAAAAATATTTTTCATGTGCGGAATGTGGCAACTTGAACTGTTTCACTTCTGCGCTGGGTTATATGTTGAAGTTAAGTCAGTTACTGTTTGTCAGTGCACCTGCCTTGTGTCATAACTCGCAGAAGTTTTAGTTGGTTTAAACGATTATTAATGCCTTTTCCTAAGTTCTATGTGAATTTCACAATTCCTATGAATGTCAAGATGAAAAGCACCGAAGAAAAAACCATTAACAAAAAGCCAGTAACACAAACCAAGGAGAGAGTAGGAATATAAGTGAATGAGATGGGTGCCATTTTGTTATCCCTGTAGTACTCTCATTTTTAATATTTTCCTTATGCAACATGTGTCTCTTAAATATGTCATTTCTGTCATCCTCAGTGTAGGTTATAAGCCTCCGCAGATATTACACTCGATATTGTCATACACAGGGTGTGCAAGCAGCCTTTCAATATATCTACCTCCCACAAAGTTATTATTGTGAAGATCTGATGTTATTCACATTGGGCTGCACTGTAATTAATATACTTGTATTACCGATGCGAAGACATGCAAGCTTTCTACATGTTGCTGTGAAATATGGTTGTAATAACTTCCCGTACATAGTGTCCTACTGATTTAATGTAGATGAAAAGCTGGCAAAATGAGACACAGACACCTGCCGAGAAGAAGTTATGTGTCACCTTAGGTGAACGCTAGGCCATATCAAGAGGGTATTTCTGTCAATCAGCCAGCTGTTGTACGCTCACTCAGTTTTCGTATATATATATGTAATGACTTGGTGCGTCTCCTGGTTTGCGTACGTTCACACTGGTTGGCATAATTACAAGACTACACTGTGCGTGGTGTTTGCTGTTGCTGGGAACCTAATTTTAAATAAATACCATGGGTCTAACCTTATAAACCTATGGGTATAGATTTTCCTTCATAGTACCTAGAAGTCATGAGCACCCTGTCTTCGGTTGGTGTAGTTTTACTTTTTGACTGTGAATGGTGAGACAGCTGGTGTTCTGGTAGTAGGAAGGAAAACATCAGATCTAAATATTTTCAAGGCGTGAAGGTATTTACTTGTTTGGCGTCAATTTCACCCTATTATTAAGAAACCTTTAGGAAGTTACGCCTTCACTTAGCAGTTCAAAACCGAAAGTGAACGACATGCTGCTATTTTTCAAAAGACAGGTTCATGAGTGAACCAGTATTTGAATACACTTATTCTAATGTATTTGTATAATGGTTGCTATAACCACTTAGGCTATCGAAAAGCCGTTTGTTTTCAGCTGTAATTCAAAGACAACTATATTTACTTTCTAAAGTAGTAGTTTGAAGAGACCACTCCACTCTTCCCTTGGAAATATTTGCGAAGCCGTGTTTTCCATCAGAATATGAGCATACTAGCCAGTTAGTGATGCTTAACCATGTATACAATTTAGCTATTCTATCTTTGTTCCTATCAGTCAAAACATCTCTCAAGCGAGTAACAAGCCATCGTTACTTTTAAATAAATATCTCTGACTGCTCGTATTTAAACGATGTCATTAACTTTATCACCAATTTGGTGTTTTAATTTTTGAGGGATCAATTTACCCTTAATTAAGCACTCGTTTCAACTTTAAGGGACAATTCTAACCCTCGAATATTGCGCTAGTATTCCTCGTTGTATACCATCCCTCGAACACGTAGGTGCCGGTAATAATTATTGCCAACAAATTTCTCACGATGACAAGAGTTAATTGCATAGTGACGACCATATGATTAAAAGGCAAATGTCTCTTTTAAATGTGTCACCCTCTGGAAGAATGTCACTAATCTTCCAGACTTCATAGCTCACAACATTCTCAAAAGTTTCCATTACGTATTACCAAGTACCTATACGAAGACTAGGGAATGCATCTGTTAGCGATTTAACTTGGAATACAAAGTCAGTGATTCTCAAAGCCAATTTCTTCAACAACGAACTCCGTGAAGTCACCGAAATTACAAAGTCCCTAAAAAGAAGATGAGGGTTTACAGGATGTGCACATGAATGTCGCTTATAATACAATAAATGACGAGGGGTAGTGATTTCTTAAGAGGTCAGAAAAGACAGTGGACCTGACCCAACTTAACACCAGTCACGCAATTTTTCGCTTCGTCCTTTTAGTGCTTGGTTTTTCTTAATTGTGTAATATTTTCTTACCACACCCCTTATTAACACTGTTGTTAAATGTACCAAAGTTCAGTTTTCATTTAGTTGGGCTCCACTCAACCCTGTCAATTAGATTAGGTTAGTCAACTTGCTGATTTGACCTGATTTTAGCTTCTAACCAATTAACGGAGCTTGTTATCCAAAATTTACAGACCCAATGACAAGTCTCTGTAATATTCATTTTCTTGGTGAGAGAATTCAACATACATATATTCGATTATACAGCTTGAGAATGATGTCACCAAACAGAGTAACTCTTCGCTAAACGCCTTTTCTTTTAAATCCACTTGCGTCAAAAATAATGACTGACGTAATCTCACAATAATACAAACTTTCGGTACTTCTTACCATGTTAGATCGTCACTTAATATATTATAAGCGATATTCATGTACACACCCTGTAAACCCTCATCTCCTATTTTAGGTACTTAGTAATTTCGGTGACTTCACGGAGTTCATTGCTGAAGAAATTGGCTTTGAGAATCACTGACTTTGTATTCCAGGTTAAATCGCTAACGAATGCATTCCTTTTCCTTTACATGTATACTTTATGTGAGCAAACACAATAGCGAAACAAAGTGATGCATAACTCAGATGTCCTTACGCCCCTGATCACGACGATGTCTAAGTAATTCATATGCAGTGAAGTACCAAAATATGTTGTACTGTGCATTTTATCCAGTTAAGATTTTTGGGAGAAGAAACCAATGTCGCATTTGTTCGTATAAATTGATGTAATCTCTGCAGAAATATGAACTTTGATTTTCGCCCGTAATAGTGTGTTCAACCGGCTTTAAGAAATCAAAATGCTACACGCAAATACAGAATCAAGGACTCGCTATCAGTATTATTTTAAGGTTCATGCGACAGAAAATGGTTCTGCACAACAGATCATCAGAAACTTTTTCTGCCGGGTACAGATCGCCACCAAAACTCAAGGAAATTTTTCAAAAGCCGCTCGCCGAAATGAACGCCAAGCATACTCGATTTACCAAATAATCCTTGCAAGAAACACATATTTAAACATCCTGATGCACTAACAATGCATCCAAACAATATCAAACATTAATTACTATGAAAATCCACTCAACAAGAGCCAAAAGTCACCAAAATAATGTCAACTGCATCTGTCTGGATCAAGTGACACATAATGGCTCCAACTCAAATTGACTAATTCGCATGATGCTGGCAAGGTGAAGCTACTGCCAACACGTTGAAAAGGGGAATTGCCATATAGTAGCCAGTTTATGTTTTTGAAGAAAGATTTTGATGAGGTGTCCGTGCAATCCTTGATAACATCGGACAGGCTACTGCTTTATTTTTTTTTGATTTACAGCTAGATTCCACACTGTATTTTTGGTACAAGTATGGAATTTTCAGCATGGATATCAGTAGCCCAAATTTTGCAGGCCGACCATAGATATCAGGTTTGCGCCGGCGTGGGCTCGAACCCCGGACCATGAGCATGGTCGGCGAGAGTCCTAACCACTGTGCCAACGACTCAAGGATTATGGAATTTTACACGAAGCTAATCTTTGTTCGTTCTATATGGAGCAAGCAGTTTACTGATGCATAGTGCTCCTTCAGGTCTAATGTAGTTTCCGGCCTTCTTTACCAAAGAGCCAAATAGACACTAGTGATGTGAAGTTATAGAGGGCAGTAAGAGGACCTCAGGCTTCAGGAAGACTCAACCAATTAGGAGAAGTAGGCCACATCATTAAATGTAAGCAAGTGTCACGTTATGCACAGCCGCATGCTGGTAGACCGAGATTCACCTGATACTTATGTACACCTGCTCTGTTACATGTCGAGAGAGCCTTAATTAGGGACACTGCTGGAGGGAAAGTTGTAACAAGTGCCAATTATACAGGAGAGGCCACCAAAGGTAACACAGCCACACATGCAGAAGTCCGATGTAAGATGAAACCAGCACCGTGTGATGTCACTGCACCTTATTCTGGGGAGAGACTCAACAGCCTGTTACATAACTTGCAACGCGACATAACCCACACTGGTTAGGATTATTCGTAGTATTGAGAGTTACGTTATTGATAGCATGAGGTTAAGAGCCATACAGGGTCTCACTTGTGCTCAGTGATGAAACCGGAGTTAATTTTTGGGTATTGATATTTAGTTTCATTCATTCAGTCGTTTTAAATATATGTTTCTGATTGTCGTCTATTTTTATTATTATCATGCTAGAGTGATTATCTATCAGATCCATTACGCAGGCAGTTCTCCCAGGTTTTAGTAATTTGTTTTAGCAATTATTTCTACCTGAATCCCCTATTATTGTTTTAAAACCATTTGGAAAGACAAAAAAACAAATCATTTGAGCAACACGTCAAAGTGTGTCGGCGGCTAATACAAAAGGTGCGTTACGAGAATGAATGAGGGCAAAGCAAAGGATGTACTTGAACATTTTGTGAAGCATACGGAAAGATGGAATGCTCGTAGATCCAATATCGTTCGAACCACAAACAAAAAAGCAGCAAAGGTTGCACTGGTATCTGTTGGATTTGCTGTTGCAAGTTGTATCCTTTATAATCGGTTTACTACAACCATTTTGACACCAGTTAATTTTATTTTCTCCAACAGTAATGTTGTATGTAGCGCATAGAACGGCGTGTACTATTTAACGTTATTTTTTAGTAAGTGAAAGCAGAATGGTCTCTGTGGGAGATGATTGCTGATGATTTAGATTTAGATAATAAAGATAGGAGTCTCTTGGTGCCTATGGTAATCCTTGTAATATATGTCTCTGCTTAGCCCCAGTGTATCTTTGTAAGCGCCTAACGATGGAGCTGTTTCTGCTGAATCACGTAATGGGTTCCATTCATTGACCACTCTGTGAGAGAATATAAATTCCACACGTATTTTAGTCGACGGCACCACTGACTACCAATCAGAAAATGACCTTGAACGCATCAGTTGCGTGACGGAGGCATTTCTTGTATATCGAACACATATATTTATGAAAAAATGCCTAAAAACTTTGTAAAAGTGTTACAGAGGATACTTTTCCCTCACATGTGATAAAACTAGCTTTCTGTCTTAGGTTGGAGTATCAACAGAGTATAATTCCGTCGTGGGTAAAATTTATTTTGATAAAGTTTCATAGTGTTATACAGCAATATTTACTGAGCAATAAGTTGTTCTCGAAACGTTGTCATCAGTCAATATTACTGTATAACACTATGAGACTTTATCAAAAATTTTATCCTCCATAGAATTTTGCTCCACCACAGTGCACAATCACATTCTACGCATGTAAATATTTAGGTCTTCTTACCCTAACAATAACCCTTATCTCTCCTGAAACTAACTCTGACGTGAAAAAATGCCTAAACTAACTGTAATCTAAATCGAACCAGCCCTAATGTCGACTTTATTAGGTTAACCTTACCTTGACTTTTCCTTTGCTTAAAGCGTAACTTAATCTTTCCCAAACCTAAGTTGAAACTTGCCTGATATCCCATTTAATAGCATGACACTTCGACGAGCATATTTATTGATGACGACAACATTATTTCCCAGGTTTCACAAACTTGCTCTGTGACAGTTTCAACGTCATTGGTGCGGCCACCCTCCATTGATGGCTAGTGGTTCTTAAAGTTTAACTTGACCGGAAAAATATTTAAATGCTCCATCCTCTTATCATAAGAAAGGTGGGAGATACCACTAACTTATTTGGTTCCTACCTTCCGTACTCTTTTCAGAATAATTGCCTCCAGGCAATTTTTTCTCATAAATCTGCCTCTTAACACTTGGTCGTTGTGGATAAGCATAGAGGAAAACTTTCCTAACTTACGGTAAGAACCCGCTCTGGTATTTGGCAAAACAACTGGGATCACTGTTTTATTGTAACTGACGCACTAATCGGATGAGTACACCTAGCTCTTTTGAACGAGAAAGTCGGTTATATTGTATTGTTTACTTGCTTCCACTTGGCATGTGTAAACGCAATAATAATAATAATGATTTGCTTTACTTCCAAAAAGAGTACTTGTGACACAGAATTCAATTTTCAGCATTAATCATAATATTGAATCTAATTTCCTCAAATTACTCACAAAGAAAATTTTCCACACTTACAATAGAGGTAGTGTCAAAAACATGCAGCATATAAAATGGAAATAGCAATAATAATGATAACAGCTAGGGTAATAATAATAATACAAGTGAAAATTGCCGTGGGCTTGTTTCACACAGTATTGGCAATGTGGTATAGGAGTCCTAACATGTTTAAAAAATATTGAATACGATGTTCTCTTTACATGATATGGTGAGGGGAAAAACAAAGATTACTGCAGTCACAGAGATAAGCTGGTGTTTGCAATTATGACAGTAAAACAAAGAAGCAACAGGACCATAAATATAATAGAAATAATAAAAGTAAAACTTGAAGGTATATAAGGATGGATGGAGGAAATTGTTTATTTACTAGATGAGCAAATTTCTTCGGTTAAATCAGAAAGACAGGTGTGACCTGTGAAAACATAAAAAAAACTGCATAGCTTTTCGTTTAAGTCTATAATTTTTTAAATGTTCATAAACTCTACTTAATTTCTCACAAAAAGTAATATTGCATTAAGTTTAGCCATTACAAGGTACACTTACTGGCTCTGTGTTTCAGTGACATTCATCAATCCATACCTGCATCAAAAGTCAGGCTAAGGTGTTTATAACAATTCGGCTACCGTTACACCGAGTCGATAAGGTTTATGCAGCCATACTACTTTTCCCATGACCCGTGAAACAAATAGGATTGTGCACATAAGGGGAAAGTTAAATAAAGTTGTCATTACCGAACTGGCAATAAAGATAAAGCTCAGTGTAAGTCACTCATGAATTGTGTAATATTTTGTCTTGTGAAGAAAATCTAATGTCATTTCCATCAACATTTGAGTACTATCATATTAATTTACCTGTCTACAACTCGGTTTATGAAGAGTTAAACTATTAGATTCACCAGTTCATTTTTTACATGAGAATCTGGTTTGCAGTTCACAAAGTTACCAATTGATGCATATATGGTGCTTAGGTAAGTTGGTAGATTTATAGAGGGATTTAATGCATTGATGGCGTTTGCTTTTATTCCAACTAACGCAGTAAAATCACTATATACCTGTTTGACTATAAGGATGGGACTGGCGATTCAGAAAAGTGTGATGGTACTAGACGTTCTTCGTAACACACCAGAATTTTGATTGACACAAGTAACCAATATTTTGTATTTATATCATGAAATATCCGTCATTCAGACTTGATTTTTTGTCTGTTACCTGTTTTCATAAATTTATAATTAGTTAGCGTAAATCAGTGCACAGATTACCCTCAGCATTATTTCTTTGCTTAGTGATGTTCTATCGATAATTTCGAGTCCACTTATTTATCTATGCAGCGTAACTAATTTACGAATATTTAAATGGTAAATTTATCACTAAAATCCTTAAGCAAGCTAACGCAGATCTATATTCCATTTATGCTATTCGGAGAAATCGATATCTGGATGAATCATTTGATCAGCAACCATCGTACAGCCCTACAAAGCAATGAAAAAAGTCGCAGTATCATTTTGTGGTATGGTGCTTAATTAATGTTCATAAGCATCCTTCCATTTGTGTTCGTCTCACCCTTAGAATTAATTTGAATATACACTTTCTTAATTACTTGATGATCGTTTTAATGTGACTCCTTAACTTGGTTTTGAATGTTTTATGCATAATGGGCGCTACTTCTCTATATGAAGCGAATTTTCCGTTGCGGATAACTGCTAATATATATTATAAGTGATTATCAATTTTGAGTTACAGGAAGGGGTGAAAATTATTGGTTAAGGAAGGAAGTCAAAAGCGTCACTTTGTAGTTATTAACAACAGGTCACAGAGTCTATTATTTTTCAAGAAACTGATGATGAGGAAGAATAAATGTATGAATTATGTAGAAAACACCAAGATACGAATAATTCAATTGAACTAACTAAATTAGTATTGGATGGTGGATTTCATCATGAGCTGACATCAGTTAGGGAACCACTGGAAAAACTGGGAGTACTGGACAGCCGTTTCATCCTAGTTTGGGATTCTTCAGCGGTATGCAATCACCGGGGTTCGAACCCGGCACCTTCCGATTACAAGGCGAGCTCGTAGACCTTGTCCAATGACAACTACAACGATAGTTTAATTGTCATTTGTAAGACACTGTGCATACAATGTGAACGGCAGCAGCAAAGAGAGGAACTTTTGAAGATACGAAGATACCAATCTCTGTACCATCATTTTTTTGTTCATTACACATAAGACAAAGCAGCGCACCGTCAGGAAACAACTACTTAAGAAGTATGCAGGAGAAAATGGTGCTAGATAAGACGTACGCTATGGACACTATTGAGTGACCACGCGTCGGGCCCTCGAGTGTAGCCTGAACCGTAAATGACGAGTTGGGTGATCTAGAGTGAGATGGAGAAGAAGGCGAGAATACAGTGGAGATGTACCGCTGTAGCCCTATGTTCCACTCGAAAACCAAGAAACGAATAGTGCAACTATTTCACCAGTATATATATATATATGTAGAGAGAGAGGGAGTTTGATGAACGAAAGTCGCTTTTATGAATCGCAGGGACACCTTGTCACGTGGATATCGCAATACCGACAGGTCTTAATATGTTTTATACAAACCTAGTGTGTAATGTGGCCATTATTACTTCAAGTAGTTCGCTAGTCACTTCATTAAATTTTAGTCTGTTCTCCTAGACCACTACTACTTCATAATTTCCTAAATTTAATTGAGATTTGTTGTTGCTGTTGTTGGTTGGTTATTTTCATAACCTCCGTCTTGTCTATGTTTACCTGGAGTCCTATCTTCACTGTGTGCTTCATCGACCAGTTTGTCGGTTTTCGCTTGTAAGTCTTCGATTGTGTGTGACATCAAACATAAGTCATCCGCGAAATCCAGGTCTTCTAGGTTCTTCACGTCGGTCCAGGATATTCCTATCCTCTCGTTTCCCACAGTCTGACGCATAATCCAGTCCACCACAATTAAGAATATCATTGGTGATAGTAAGCAAGCACCCTTGTCTGACTGCTGTGTTTACTCCAAACACCTCGCTGAGTCTTCCGTTGTGGATCACTTGACATGTGCCACCGTTGTCGTACAGCTGTTGAATAAGGTTGATGACGTCTCGCTATTTAACGCTAATAGCTTTATCAAAGTATTATCAAACCGGAATTTACAAAATCTCAGGATATATATATATATATATATATATATATATAACAAAGAGTTAAGGGGTGAGAAAATAGACTTAGGTCAAGTTAAAGGGACGTATAGAAAGTCAGAATAGTAATGAAGATCACTAAACCAAATAACAAAGGTAATAGTACGTCTGTTATGATATCAAAATAAAGTTTACTAACTTGATCATCGTTCGTCTATCTAGGGTCGTTTTTTGTTGTCAAGTTGGTCAATTGGTAAAGATAACGAAATCAAGTGTAGACTGTTGGATTTGATCAGTGTGTAAAATTATAAAAGTAGTGTGTGTACATAGTGAACTTGCTTATCCAATTCGTGTTTATTTTGGTCACTTCAAGGGGAGGGAGGTGTTGTAACCAGGTCAGATTCTGTTTTAGTCCATCATTCCTATTCAGGCAATTTGGATTCCACTTGATATGAAGTGCTTCTGATATTAGACGTTCTTTGTGGTTTCTGAAGTTTTTCTGGATTATTTCAATATTGTCAAAGTCAATTTTGTGGCCTGATTCTATAGCGTGTAGACCTATGGCTGATGATTTTTGAAGTAAATAAAAGACGGATTCAGCGAAGAAAATTTTCTTTATCGACGAAATCATCTTCAGAGGCTGTACAGTCGTATTTATACTTAGAAGAATGTATAGTGGTCTATTATTGAATAATAGGGGGTGACATAATTGCTGTAATTAATCATAAGTGGCTTTAGAGGTGAAAATTAAAAGTTGTAAATTACATGGTACTTGACGGAACAAAGATAGAAGTTAGAAAAGGTTAAAATTGCTCTTGAGTGAGAATAAAGTTATTAGAGTGTCAATTTAACAAGTGTGAAGAAGGTGTGAAAATATATGAAATTGATAATAGTGAATTAATTATTAAAGCAAAAGCAAACTAAAAGTAAAATTAAAGATTAAGAACAAAATCAAAAATATTTTTTAACAGGGAAGGATAAGTGAAGAGGTTAAGACCAAGGTAGAATAAGAGACTGGACAAACTTTTTCTGTATACAGAGATCAGGGTTGTATTGATGTATTGCCAGCGCCTCCGCCATACACAAAAGCCGGAACCTGACGCCTTTTGTACAATTTGGCTTCACTTTGTAGATGATGTTGAAAGACGACTCTGGTGGAGCTACGTGGCCTGAGTTCACCAAATGCTCGAGAATTGAGCTAGTAATTGTCTTGTATTGTCCCTTTGCTAACCATGCCGGATAATGTTCAGAGATGCGTTTGGAAAGCGTGCGCTTTGTGCGGCCAATATAACTTGCTCCACACGAGCATGTGAATTTATAAACACACATTGAGGTGGCCCAAAGCGGCAGCTTATCCTTTACACATCCGTTGATCATTCGTCGGCTGTAGAAATTGATACGTAGCTCAGCCATAAAGAAGGCTTTCCTCAGTGATCTGCGTAAGCGATTCTTCAAGATCTCAGCTGCAGTATCACCTTTAAATTCAACACTCATAAAGAGCAGTTTCTTCGGCACAGTCTGAATTCTTTCGGGCTTTTCTCTTAGCTTCATGTTTTTCTCGATGAATCTTGGAGGATATCCATTCTCTAAGAGAACTTGTCTGAGTCGCTCCAATTCCCCATCGATTGTATCACTTGAACATATCCTCCTTATTCTTGAGGATAGGGAATGGATCAAATTTCTCTTTCTTCTTAAAGGGACCCAGCTATGGAAATTTGTGTACTGACCATTCCATGTTGGTTTCCTGTAGATCGATCTTTGAAGAGAGCCATCAGATCTCCTCTTTAGAAAAACATCCAAAAAGTGGAATTCCGAGTTAATCTCTGATTCCGACGTGAATTTGATGGCATGATGGCAGCTGTTGAACTCATTAGTTATCAATTCGACGTCAGTATTGTCGTCACATATGATGAAGGTATCATCCATGTATCTTAGGTACAGATGGAAACTGTCGATAGTAGGCCATAAAATACTATTCTCCACACTGGCCAAGAAGCAATCTGCAAGTAAAGGACCCAGTGGTGACCCCATTGCTACTCCATCTCTTTGTCTATATATCGTGTTGTTGAATTTGAATTGGACATTTAGAGTGCACCTCAAAAGTAGTTCCTTTAAGTAGTGTATCGGAACACATACGTCCACATTATTATCTTCAATGAATTTGCATAAAAAGCAGATAGTTTCAGTGAGGGGAACGTTGGTGAAAAGCGAAGTAACATCCATAGATATCATTTTCTTCCCAGATACATTAGCATCATTTATTGAGTCGACGAATTCAAACGAATCAGAAACACTATGCTTGCAGAGATTATTTCTGATAGGTAGGAGGATTTCTGTGAGCCATTTGGCAGTAGCATGATATGGAGAATTTTTCATGTCCAGGATTGGACGTAGTGGCACGTTCTCTTTGTGCACTTTTGGCAGACCATATAAACGGGGAATCACGGAACCGGAGGGTCGTATTTGCTCGAATAATTCAGAGCTAATAATCGATTCGTTCTTCATATTCTTCAGCATTTGTGTTATCTTGCTTTCAATTTGTTCCGTTTGGTCTTTCTGGCTACTTTCTTTTGAAAATTTGTTTTCATCTGACAAGACTGATAACATTTTATCGATGTAGTCTTGGCGATCCATCAGGACAATGCCAGAACCTTTGTCGGGGCGTGTCACAACCAAGTCTTTGTTCTTTAGAATCTCACGCAATTGCTTTCTGTGCTCGGCTGAAATCAATCTTCTGGCTTTTGGTTGCGTGTTGATGTACTGATGGCAGCTATTTAATACTGTAGACTTGAATTGTTCATATGATTTGTTGGACGCTGCAGAAAGGTCATTTGTCTGTTGGATCAGTGCTTCAAATTGGACTTTGATATCCAAGTCACTCGAGTTTGTCGAAATATCGCAGAATTTTGGACCCAACGACAAGGCTTGCAATTGGACAGGAGTCAATGATATACTAGAGTAGTTGAAGACGTATTTTTCTGGTTTGGCAGGAAAACAAGAGTAAGTGTCAGCGGCTTTGAGGCTGTTCGCGAGTTTCAGGTTTACATCTTCACAGCGTCTTCTTGAAACTGACTCGATGTAGTCCATGAAACTTCTCTGCTCGTCTTCTGTCAGCTCATATAGAGCATGTGTTCTTAGTGAAATGTTTCTCTCTATCTCCGGTAGGCGAGATTTTATTTCATCGATGACGTTCAGTGTATGACGTTTCAAAGAGCGATGGTTTGGGTGAATATGATTGCAATAATAATATGAATAGTTTGATGAGTGAGTTTTACTCAGGATGCACATAGAAACAAAGTAGATAATACGAAACTATGTAAGAGATTTAAGTGAATACAAGAATTATAAGCAATTAAGGAACAGGCGAAGAAACAAAATTAAGTCATCAAAATAAAATAAAAGCTCAAAACAAATCAAAACATTGTTACCATGAGAGTAGAAGTGGTTGAGTAATCTTCTTTTGTATGCACAGCTCCGGTTTTTCCATGTGAATGGCCAGAGCTTC